AATCTATGTGATTCATTGTGAGCAGTCCGGTGTATATGAGATCTGTGTGATCTGTGGTTGATTCCTTTGTGGTTTCGTAGTTTCCTTTGTGGTTCTTATAGAAGATAAGTCTTCGTGGCTTAGTCTTTGTGATTTACCGAACATTCGTGTAATCTTGTTGTCGATTTTTGGGCATTATAGTGTAACCAAGCTATATCCATTGATAGTGGATGCTCAACAGAGGATTAGGCACTCGTGCTGAACCTCTAGGGCTTCGGCCGGAAAAAATCCTCTGTGTTCATTATTTCTGCACTTTTATTTTTGCATTTCTTGGTTCGGTTTCTATGAATGTTGGTTAATCCTGTGTGTCTCGACATTTCATTGATGAAAAAATGCAGCTTCATGTAACTGAAACTTGTTAACAATATTTTTCTAGTTTATGAGGTAGTACCTGAGAAGACGAAGGAGAGCCCTGGGTGTTTTTGCCACTTTTTGACCCTCCAAGACATGATAGTGATGAGACCATTTTTGCCTGCAAAATTTGCCTTTTCACAACAACATGAAGTAATATTTTCTATTACTACTAAACCAACGAAATAAGAACAATAGCAGAGTACGTTGTACCATTTTTGTGCATTTCACTAAACCAAGCCCTAAAAAGTAACATACTTTATGACAGCAGAAAGATGAAATTTACATTATTTTCTAGGAAGCTCAACAACGTTAACCGTTCATCTCTTTCCTGCTCTAATGTCAAAAGGAAAATCACCAAACATTTTAGTAGATTGTGAAGGGACAGGAACGATTGTCCCTCCAAAAAGATTACAAGTATTGAACTTCTCAAATGAAATCTAATTTCCCAACACAACAAAATGAAATGCACTTGACCGACTTTTACATGATATGATTAGGATAGACCAAGTTTAGGAAGAATGCCTCAGTTATTAAATTCTTAATTCTTTAGTCTTCCTTTCCCCCTTTTTCTTTCTTTCTTTTTGCAAGCAGTACTAAGCGTCTCCCTCAATACGAGATACTAGTACAGTTTAGGCTCAGTCTGGTCCCGAGTACTAAGTTTAGATAAAATGAGGCGATAACAATCAAAGTCTGTCTGTCTGAGATACCTCAACAATTTCTTCTTCCTCTCGACCGTTAGCTCCAGGCCTCTCCAAGAATGCTAATCCTATATCGTTACATGATAAACCTTTTAGAATAAGCAACTAGATCAAAATCCAATTTAAAAAAAAAAAAAAAAAAAAAAAGGAAATGTATTTAACCATAATAATAGTACAAGCAAATCATTTTAACAAGATATTTTTATTCTAACATGCATTAAATACAAATGTACTCACCTTTGTATGCAGAACACTATCCAGATGTTTAATCTTTGTAGTGAGTTGTGCCACTGCAAAAAAGCTAGTCATCTTTATTAGACGTGATTTAAGGTTTCTTTCCTTGTATAATTTAGATTCCTTTTATACAGCTAGGTTTTCCTTGTACATATTTGTAAACTTCTATATATATATATATAAATCTTGCGTGATTGGCTCCTGGTTCATATAAATTGGCGATCGTGTCTTAGTCGCCATCTTGGTTCTTCGAATTCCTCACGTATTTTATATCAAACGCTTATTCTGTGTTCTCGAACAGAGGTATTACAGCCTCACTCCTCTAGATCTCAGTCGTCTTCTCGCATCGCAGCCTTGGTTTGTGCAATTCAGTGTTGTTGGTCACAGTTTCCTTCTCAGTTCACCGGTTGATTCTTGGTCACAGTAGGATTTCGACGTCTCCTTGTTAGGTTGGTGGAAGTTCGGTGTTGGGTTGATGATTTTACACCTCCGATCGAAGACTTCAACCTCAGGTTACACTCGTTTCTTCTCTTAGATTCTGTTGGGTCATGGGTACTTATGATTGTGTAGTGTTGTTGGGCTATTATTTTGGACTTCAATTAATTGAATAGTGCTGAGTAATGGTGTTTGGGCCTATTATTGTGGGCTTTACTTGTTGCCGGCGTCGTCTGTGGAATTGGAGGTGCTCTGATTCCCGTTTGCTTGTTGGACTGAGGTGTGTTTTAGTTTGGGTCATTGTTTAAGTGATTAATAGTTGGGTTGAATTGTTTGACTGGGCAGACTTTATTTGGTTGAATTGGGATTCTACAGTGCCTTGTTATGTCGATTAAGAAGAATGAGTGTCTTTGCATTCGCTTTAATGGGAATAATTACTCTTCATGGGCATTTCATTTTCAGTTATTGGTTGAAGGCAAGGGTGATCTTTGGGGACATATTGATGGAAGTCTCCCGGCCCTTGATCAAGAGAAAGATGAGGAGAAATATCTTACATGGAAAATCAAGGATTCTCAGATTATGTCATGGATCATCGGATCAGTTGATGCGCAGATTGTACTTAATCTCAGACCTTATAAGTCAGCACGTGATGGGGGAATTCCTGAATAAAGTTTACACTCAAAGCAACAACGCTCAGAGACTTCAGTTGGAGTTTAAATTAGCAAATTTTTCTCAGGACTCACGCTCTACAGAAGAATACTATTCTGGTTTTTCTAATCTTTAGACTGAATACACGGATATCATTTATGCTTCAGTTCCACCTAACGGTTTGAAAGTAGTACAAACAGTACATGAAGTTACTAAGAGGGATCAATTTCTCATGAAATTGTGGAATGAATTTGAATCCATCCGATCCAACCTTATGAATCGTGAAACTCCTCCAACATTGGATGACTGTTTGGGAGAGTTATTGAGAGAGGAGCAATGACTTATCACTCGTACATCTTTGGAGCAACAGCAAAATCAAGTAACACCAGTTCCTGTTGCATATGTTGCTCAAGGGAAATTCAAATCTCGGGATATGCTTAGTGTCCAGTGTTACAGTTGTAAGGGGTTTGGGCACATGGCTCTTCAGTGTCCTCGAAAAATGTGCAATTATTGTAAGAAGCCCGGACATGTCAATAAAGAGTGTCCTACCGGTCCTCCACGCAAGTCTGGAGCAGGTCAGGTTGCTGCTGCCACTTTTGCCTTCGATTCTGCTCCGCCAGTTGCTTCCACTCAAGTTCCAGCCTCTTTCAATCTTACTCAAAACTCCATCACCCCTGAGTTGATTCAACAAATGGTTATTTCTACTTTGTTTGCCTTAGGCGTGTCAGGTAATATCCTAAGTGGTTCTTCTTCTTGGTTATTAGATTCAGGTGCTTCTAACCTTATGACTCATGATCCATTGTTGCTTAGTAATCTTAGACCATACACTAGACC